ACCCTTGGTTTATTCTTGCTTTTTATCCTCAGTTTACTCTCATGCTTTACCCTCTCTTTACTCACACGCATTAGCGTCAGTCTACTTTAACTCTTTACCCTCACTTTACTACTGCTCTTTATCCTCAGTCAACTCTCATTCTTTACCCTCACTTTACTACTGCTGTTTACCCTCGCTTTACTGTGACTCTTTATTCTCAGTTTACTCTTGCTCTTTATCCACAGTTTACTCTCATGCTTTACCTTCACTTTACTCTCAGGCTTTACCCTCAATTATTTTCTTTCTCTTTTTCTGCTCTTCATCCTCAGTTTACTGTCACTCTTTATCCTTAGTTTACTCTCACTGTTTATCATCAGTTAACTCTTGCTCTTTACCCTCACTTTACCCTCAGTTTGCCCTCATTTTTTACATCTTTACTTTTACCCTCAGTTTACTCTGTCTTACTCTCTCATTTTTTACCCTATTTTTACTTCTGCTCTTTACCCTCAATTTACTCTCATTCTTATCCTCTCTTTATTCCTTTTTACCCTCAATTTAATCTTACTCCTTACTCACACTCTGCTCCTGCTCTTTAACCTGTCTTTACTGCTGCACTTTACCTTCACTTTTCTCTAATTTTTTAGCCTCAACCTTACTCTCAATTTTATCCTTATTTTACTCACTGTTATCCTCACTTTACTCCTGCTCTTTACCCTCTTGCTACTCTTGCTGCTTACCCTCAGTTTAAATTTCTTTACCCTCGCTTCAGTCCATCTCTTTACCCTCTCTTCCCCTCGGTTTACTCTCATTCTTTATTCTCTTTACTGCTACTTTTTACCCTCACTTTCTTTTTTCATTTTACTCTCACTCTTTACGCTCAGTTTAGTCTCATTCCTTRCCCTCACTCTACTCCTGCTTTTTACCCTCTCTTTTCTGCTGCTCTGAAAAAAGAGAGGCTTTTCTTCAGCCTACTGTCATTCATTATCCTCACCTCACTCTTGATTTCTACCTTCTCTTTACTCCTGCTCTTTACTCTGTTTATTCTCATTCTTTACCCTCTATTTACTCCTATGCTTTACCCTTCATTTATTCTCATTGTTTACCCTCTCTTTACTCCTGCTCTTTATCCTCGCTTTAGCTCTTTATGCTCAGTTTACTCTCGCTCTCTACCCTGTTTTCTCTCATTCTTTACCTTGACTTTACTCCTGCTCTTTATTCTCAGTTTACTCTCTTTACCCTCAGTTTACTCTCGCTCTTTACCCTCAGTTTCTCTTTTTCTTTATCCTCACTTTAGTTTTTTTTTTTGCCCTCACTTTAATTTCATACCCTTAGTTTACTCTCATCTTCACCTTCACTTAAGTCCTGCTCACCTTCACCCTCTCTTTACTCCTGCTCTTTATCTTCACTGTACTCTTACTCTTTACCCTCAATCCTCTTTCTCCTTACTTTATTCCCATTCTTTACCTTCACTTTAGTCCTGCTCTTTATGCTCAATTTACTCCCACTCTTTATCCCCATTTTGCTCACATTTTTACCCACGCTTTTCTCCTTTTTACCCTCACTTTCACTCTTTATGCTCAGTTTACCCTTCCTTTTCCCTCACTTTACTCTCATTATTTACCCTCACTTTACTCCTACTCTTTCCCTTCACTTGACATCTGCTCTTTACACTCACTTTGCTCTCTCTCTTTACCACCACTCTTTACTGTGACTCCGTACCCTCACTCATTAACCGCCCCTGCATGCTAATTTTATGCAGGTATCCTTGCTCATAGAGAAATAGTGTTTTTTTTTTTTTTTTTTTTTAACAGTTACCTATTTTTTTTAATTTTTTTCTATTAGGTTGTAAAGAAATGAAAAAGGGTAGAGAGACATGGGTAGAAGGGTAGGGCAGGCAATGATGCTTAATATTTGCTCTGTTCAGTCAGTTGAAATAAAATTTTGAACGTGGTGTAATATTTAAATATTTGGGGGAAAGTATGAGGAAATTAACAGCACTTCTTTGTCACCCCAAAAATTTTTCGTAATCTTTGTGGTGACAATAATTTTATCATTCTWGCCTCGTACTTGTTCCCCACGCTCATTACTCTCCCCTACATGCAAATTTTGATATACGTGTACTTACTAGTAGAGAATAAACTTCCGTTACCAGTTACTGATATATATTTCATTTTTTCTTTTACTAGTCAAAGTGCAAAGAAGTGATGAAGGGAAAGGAGGGGATGARGGCTAAAAAATGGAATGCTGACTTTAGTCACTTGAAAGAGTATTTGCARCATGATGTAATATATAAAAAGTTTTGGGGAGGCGCAGGCCGTTTAACAGCTTTTCTTTGTAACCTCTAGGATTTTCCGTAGCCTATGAGATGATGATAATTTTATCACTTTTTCCCCTTTCCCTTTCCACTTGCTCTTTCCCCTGCCCTTTACAGTCCCCTGCATGCARATTTTGATGGAGATTATTCCCTTGTAGAGCAATATTTTTTTTTTAGGAGTTTCCTAAATATCTTTTTTTTTATCAATCAAACTGTAAAGAAATAAAGGAGGAGGTGAAGCCTAAAAAATGAATTGCTGACTCTAGTCATTTTTAAGAATATTTGCAATGCGATTTTAAATATTTAAATTTAAATATTTAAAAAGCTTTGGGGATTCCGAAGCAAATTAGCATCATTTCTTTATACCCTCTAAGTTTCTCAGTAAGCTGTGAGATGATGATGATTTTATGACTCTTTAGTCTCGCTCTTTAGCCTCACTCTTCTTTGCAACCTCTAAGATTTTAAGTAATCTATGAGATCATGATAATTTACTCAGAATATGATGAGGATTATTCGTGTGTATGTCTATAAACATAATTTTAAAAATGAATGTGAGTTTTCTGTGTACACATTTACATGTGTGTTTTGGAATTCTCACTTGAATAAGGTTAGTTTCAGGTAATTGTGGGGGTTTTACATACGTGTATGTGAATTTTGCACATGCAGGCATTCATTTTTGGCCACTTGGAAGAGTTTTTAGGCATRTGGAATACAAAAGTTCATAATAATGGAATTAAAATGTTTTCYTGAACTTCTGTGTTAGTTATTCCACAGTAAATTTGAGCTATGCTATGCAGATTAACCTGATCATGCTATATTTTCTCAGTTTTACTGTGCTAAAACAGTTTGAGGGGGAAAAAAAGGCACTAGAAAAAGGTTCTTTTAAAAAAAAAATGAATTCAATGCATAGAATATTCCTTCCCTGCTCCATTTCTCCTGCTTTCTACCATCTTACCTCCATTCCCCAAAGTCTGTTTTTTGACAGTGACCCTGCTTTGACAAATTTGTTCTGCAAATTTGCCATTCTTTTCTTTTGCACTTCATAACTGATCATGTAAAATAAATGCGAGGGCCACCATAAATTCCAGACATTAAGAATTTTTTTTTTTTTAAAGAAAATAATAAGAGACTTGAAGCTGGCAATGAAAATACTTCTGTAATTATAGGATCTTTACCAGAATAAGATTTTTTTTTGCCTGAAGGGTGAAAACCTTTTACTCATCATGATTTCAGACTTGTTGCATGTGAAAAGAGGGASATGTCAGCTGGTGACCCCGTAGAAACTATTTTTGAAGGAAAYTGCAAAGAAAAGAATTGTTTTGCCCATCTCATTTGTGAGGTTTTCTTTTTCCAGACAAGCATAAGTATCTAGAGAAACATGAGAAAATTAATGAGTTCTGATTAGAGCTTTGCTCAGATTGTTTATAGCTAGGATTTTTATTTCTGTCACTCTGGCTTTAGTGTAAAAAACTGCAGAAAGCCTCTCAGTGATGCTGGTTTTTAAAAATCAATATGATAATGTTCATTTTGCTAAATAACAGGTAACAAACGTGCCCATGGCTTATGGGAAGAGCTATCAGCAGGCTTTGAGGAACAGAGTTGGAAAGTTATCAAAGATGACTGTGCAGTGCATCTTTCCCTGTTAAACCAGACGTTGGGCTTCCGTAAATCCGCTTGGGCGCAGCGATGTCTCTCTCGGCCCGTTAGCAACATCACCTTTAATTTGCCATGACAAGCGGAGCCGCGGGTTGCGTTTCCATGCCGGGAAGGGCAGGAGAGCCGGTCCCCACCAGCAGTTGGGTCCGTGAGGGAAGCAGGGCTGCAGTTCMGGCCATGCGGCCTCGCAGGCGGGAAGCCCGGTTGTACCCAGGATCCCAGTCCTTGCAGTGCTCTCTTCCTGCCATTCCTGTCTTTATGGTATTTCCACGTGTGTGCAGTGTCGGGTACCTAGTTTTGAATATTTGCAAATGCTTTACAGTCTTAAGGCATGCCAGGAATTCTTTTTTTCGTCCTCTTTTTTTTTTTTTTTTTGCTAATGAGTGGGTGATTGTAATCTCGTTGTGTTAGCAGGTTAGTATTTATCCAACAGCTAATTCTTTGGTTCCTCTAATCTTTAGGTCTGTACTTCTCCTAATGAGTTAAACTAGCAATTACTGGTACAGTTTCTTTATGTGGGCTTTGAGGAGGGGTGAAATGCCGGTTGTGTTTTGGAATTTGAAATCATAATGCGTACATGGCCTTAACTGTGATTCCCATAGACTTTTCCAAACCTCAGATATAGCAACGCAGAATATATGTGTATATACAGTAAGGATACGTATGTACACAAGGAAGTTTCATTTTAGTCATGACTGAGGTGTTCATCTTTAAAATTAAGCATGATAATTCTTTAAAAACCGTTAGGATGACTATGCCACCGTTCAGAGTACAAACTAAATAATGTGGCAGCTGGTCAGAATTGCAGGATAAATCCTTTGAATCTGGGAATTCAAAGCATAGAAGATGATGGGCTGGGTGCAAATATGAACAAGTGAAAAATTGAAAGGGAAGGTGCATTTATGAAATTTGAAATTTTATGCCTGGTGGGTTTTGTACTGATGTACTGTTGTGTTCCTCATAGTATATAGTACTTAGGGAGGAGGGAAAAAGCTGCTTTTAACAGAAAATTGTGTTTTCTTACTTCATGTGCATGTGTTCCTCCTTTTAGGAAGCTACAATATTACGAATGTCTTGCCTTCAGCTCCTGATATGGCTCAGTTTAAACAAGGAGTGAAATCAGTGGCTGGAAAACTTTCTGTACTTGCTAATGGAGTCATGACATCTATACAGGTTAGTGAAAGTATTATGTTACAGTGAACCTCAGTTAGATCTTCCTGTAGTGATTTAGTATCATAAACCTTGCTCTTGGATCATATCTAGGGAGAAAAGAAGAAACCTCTGTAAGCTTCTTGTGATAGATAACAGATCTTTATCTTTTTAAAAATAATTTTCTAATAGTTGGCTAAACTTCCTTGATCTTTTTGTCTTCTCTCTGCACAGTTTATTGCTTACCTTAAAATAGGAACACAAATTCCATCATGGAAGTTATTTGCTGTTACCTTACTATTAAAGTAGTAATAGTTGAATTCTTGTGCTGTCTGCCAAATTCACTTGAGAGAACCCCCCCAGAAAATATTGTTGTGCTCAGAAAAAAGGCATCCTGTCTCAGCCATGTAAGGCTTGCTCTATTACCCAGCTGCTTTGTTTCCTGCATGAGTTAAGTGGGAGCTCTTGGACGGTTTTAAAAACCGAGCTCATTATCTTGGCGTTTAACCGTAAACTCCGGTTTGTAGAAACCAGTTTTCTCAGAGTCTTAATAATATAATAATAAATTATAAAATAAATAAATTATTTCTGTAGCAAAAGTAGATGTAGCTGATTTCTTTCAATGGTGAGCATAGCCATAACTGTATTTTTCTTTTGTTTTCCTTCTCTAGGATCGATACGGCTCATAACCTCTTGGATATCAGCCTCAGTACACTAAAGAGGAATTGCTCTTTGGATATACCAGATCACACTGCTGATTCAAACGAAGGTTGCCTTAACACTGTAGATGCTCTTAATTGTTCCAGGATTTTTTTTTTTCCGTGCAACTTTCTGGCTCAGTTTCTTACTGCTATTTCATCTCTCAAAGCAGAAATTGTGTAGTAACTTGATATGACATATATGCCTTTTTCTTCACAGTGTTGTACTTCCGTTAGTGGCCTTAATGTTGTCTGTCAGAAGTCTTATTTTATTATTGTTTGTGAGAGAGGGAGCAGAAAGGTGGACCTGTACATGGAAATAAGACTTCCTGACAAACCTCTGTGCAGTTGCACTTGTAGCTTGTCTTCTGATTGTCTCATGAGCTGTGGAGAAGAAAATTCAAATTAAGCATATGCTAAGATGGTATTTAGTGGACTGTAGCAAAATATAGAATTGAGTTAAACCTGTGCTTATTGGAAAGTAGAAGTTCTTGTGGTTTATAAATTGATGTGCRTTAAAATGATGGAGAAATACTGCTTTAAAATGATATTCCTGCTACAAAATGTTATGCTTAGATGTGAAATACAGAGGAGACAGGACACCTGGTATATTAAATAATTGATTTAATTTTATCGTGGGAACAATCTATTTATTCCTAATTTTGAACATTATGAAAAATTGCAATATAGAATCCTTAAGTGCATTTAAATGATCTGTATTGTGTACAAAATGAAAAAAATATATACAAAGGGCCTAACAGAGTAGCTAGTTAATTATTTGTTATGAATTTTTAGAACAATCGCATTTTTTGATGAATTACTGAATAAGGAAATATAGCGGGACTGTGTTTTAGGCAGTCTGGAATTTATTATTGATGACATCTTATATAAAAAATGGTTGCAACCCTAAAAACCCACAAGCAAAAATGAACTTCATCTAATTCTGTTCTGTAACTTTATTTCTTAATTCAAATTTGTATACTGCTGATATCTAATAAAAACGATTGGTATAAACTTATTTTTTAATTAAATTTTTTTATGTGCAGGAAACCAGTGTCTAGCTCTCTAAATACAGCCATTTGTGTTCTGTCTATACAATGATCTTGAATCAGCCTTTAATTCTCAATTAGTGAGACTAGCTTTCTTATTTAGCTGCTGTAGTGGTTTAAAAAATGCAAAACATGCTGGGTAGGAAAATAAGCTACATACTGAAATATTGTGGTTGAAACACGGTTAATTTAGTGTAGCTTTTTTGTCTTTTTTTTTTTTTTTTTTTCTTCTTTTTCTTTTTCTTTTTTTCTGCTCACTTCTGGTAACTTTGTGCTCAGGCTGATGTATTTAATAAGCCAAAAATGGCACTTCCTCTTTTGAGAGCAGTGCAATATAGGCATTTGTTTTGCTTAATATTGGGGACTTTGGTATAAAAGACTTGCTTCTTTTGTCTGCCTGTGTGATAAAGAAGTTATCCTAATTTAGCTTAACAGGAAAATATTACTGGTCAGGGTTAKCATTGGTTTTCACTAGTTACAGGTAGAGATTCTCATTTTTTAGACTACTCTTTCTGTTAAGTCTACAGTCAATAGTAAATACATTTTGTCTAATAATGTGATTTTCAGAGTGACTTCCAGTGACTTGCAACAGAGCTGCTGCTTTGCTGACCTGGCTGCATGTAAAGACACTCGAATATGAAGGCAGTTGCTTAATTTAAGACAGTAAAATATAGCCCTGATATMTCTTTGTAGAAAAAAAATAAATCAGTGCTCTGCTGTTATTCCTTGAAAGGAAAAGTTAGGGCTCGGTGGCTTCTTATAAATAGCAGGGCTTGAGATCACCTACATAGAAATAATATTTTTTTCTACAGCACTATAATAGTGACCCACTCACAGATGGAAAAGTGTGAACACTGGATATTTTTGGTGCAAAGTAAGAACTACAGAGTTACTTCAAATGCCATAAAACATGTGCAGTTCTCTAATAAATGTATAAACTTTTTTCCCCTCTGTTGCAATCCGAGGATATCCCACAAGGCTCTCTCAGGGATGAAGAGCAAATCTGTATCTATAAAAATATTATCCAGGTCACCATAAAAGAAAATGCTGGGTTTGTGCTGTTACTGCAGGTTCTGTATGGGAACCTGGGCACCACCGGCACCTTCTCCTGATGAAGGAGCTGGTAAATGGCCCCTGACCTCTCATACACCGGCTCCAGCTCCTGTTGTCTCCTGGAATTCCAGCAGGCACCACYAGGCCTTCGTAGGCCTGAGCCTATCGGATTTAATTGGACAGGATCAAGGGCAGTTGCTAATAGGACCTTTACATAAAATGAGATTTGCACACTTGCTTTTTTGGGCATCCCCTTCCTTTTTCTCTTCTTTTGCCCTTTTATAACTGTATTTCAAAMACACTTGACAGCCTCTGATCAGACTGACAGGCAGCTCTGATGCTGCTACAAACTTGAAAGGTTTAGAGGAGGTGATAAAGCCATGTGTTGGATCTGTTTTTCCAAAAAGTTTGGGAGAGAAACTTAGTATAAATTACCAGGTGCACTTTGTTTCAGTTTTCTTAATCCCCCTTTATTACCTTTATAAATCTTGCTTTTACAAAAGTGAAACTGAGTGGAGGCAGCAGCTACTGTGAAGCATCTAAGTTAAGCTTTCCTGCTTTGGTGTTGCTGTCCGATAAAGACATTAACAGGAGGAGAAGGAGGATTATTTAATTCTTTTCAAGTACTTTATTTTTGTTGCTTAAATTGACAGGTTTCGAAGCACATTTAMAGGGAGTTGTAAAGTACCAGAACCATCATTAATCTGGCAGGCCAAGACTGCTCTTGTCCGAGTAAACAGCAAAGGAAGGAGTATCATTACCATCAGTTTTGTCTTGCTTCTCTTCATAAAAGGAGATACGCTCTGCACTGCCCTTCTGCTCTGCTTGCACCAAAATGCCTTTTTGATGCCAGTTAAGACTTAGGGTTTAGAAGGATTTTTAGACTGCAAGAGGGGGCTGAGAAACTCCATAGCACAGGAGTCTTTAAATGTTGCTTTAGCTGCAGAGTCTTAACGTGGCTCTTGCTCTGCTCTTAACTGCAGGCAGTTTGATGCTTCTGCTTCCTTTTTTATCCAACCCTTGTCTAGGTTTCTGCTCCCCTTAAGCGTGAAGGGACAAAGCAGAAGGGTTTCAGCCACCCTCCTTTGGTGCTCACAGCTTTCAAGACAAATAGTAGCCCAGCCTCGCTTTTTGCAGGACCAGCTGCAGCTATTGGAGAACATCACGCCCAGCTTAGAGGCTCTCAATTTAATTTTAATGAAAATTTGATGGTTTTTAAGCCTTGGAAGGCAACCTAGCCCATGTGATCTCTTAGAGAAAGCAATAGGAGCTCAGGGTACTGAGGGGGCTCTGATTTTTGAGAAACTTTTGCTTTCCTTTTGTGCTGAGCGGTGATGCTTTCTTCCCAAAGAAGTGAAAACAGAGAAGCTCAGCCCTGTGGAGGTGCCCGGACAGCCTCGTGGTGCTTGCCGGGCACGTAGGGTCTCTCCGCATCCCTTTGCAAGCCGTATGGGAACAGTGCTGCCTCCAGCCTGCGAGCTTCCCGGAGGGCACCGTCCTCCCCAGCCTGCCTGCTGTGGGAGAGACGGGAGAAGGGAAACATGGAAGCACCCCGGGAGGCTTCACCCCCTTCAGCTCGAGTGCCGGCTCTGGGCTGGAGGTCGGCAACACCCAGTTCCTTCTTTGGCCTCTTCACATTTTGTGGGTTGCTCTGACCTTTCTCTTCCCTTTGGCTGTCTCTGAGAGGAGGTGCTTGGCTTTAAAGGCAGCAATGCCTGCATCCCTGCCGTTCAGTTGCCATTCAAGAAGTCCTGGGCTATGTGGCGTCGTTTCTGGCTACCACAGCAGGAGCGGTGGATTTCCTGGAGTGCCTGACGAAAGAGGATACTGCGGACTGATACGAAACAGGGTTTGTATCCGTATTGATAACRTGGATGTGGTTGCTGATTACAGGAGCAAAATCCTTACAGCGAGGACGGTGGTGCTGTGCCACAGAGGCCTGGCAGCCCAACAGCTTGCTCAGGAAGGAGGTTTCCTCAGCGAAGGATCGACACCCGTTTTCCTTTTATCTCTTTTCGCGCAGATTGTTGCCCATTTGCACGTTGCTTTCTGGTCATACATAATGTACGCATAATGTCTCCTGCTTGTCTGACAGTTCTTTCCTGTTCGTATCAAAATGACTCAGTGCCGTAATAATTCATGATTAATGCAATTAGCAGCGCGAGCAGCGCTGGGAGCTCCTGCATGCTGCGAGGATGCCCCGGAGACCTCAGAGTTTGGGCAAGCAGAAGCCATCGGCACTGTCTTGCTTGTGGCTCGCTGGACTGGGTTGATTTTCCCATCCATTTTTGCTGCTGTTTGCTTTCGATAACTAAAAATGACAAATGATTTAATATTGAAATTTTCCAAGTTTTTCAAAATCCTCCGTGGCACAAATGCTAAAGCCTAACAAATCTGTGTATGCCGAGCCTGTGGAATGGGCTGTGACTGCTCTCCTTTGCTTTAGGGTTTGATGTGGAGAATGCATTTAAAAACATTAGCGATGTTAATCCATGAAAATCACTGCATGAACCTGGTCTGCTCTGACGAATGCACCACCCGCCCAGGAGCAAAGCGTGCCCAAAGCGTATGAATAACTGAAATATGTCTTTTGTGCCGTGGTTTATGAGGCTACTTGTCAATGAAACTGAGGGAGGTGGCTTAAAACACGTTGACATGTGTGCGTTTTTCCCATGAGGTGCCCTCCAACTGTGYACCTCAAGCTACACATGTGTCTCAAGTGAGCGCCAAGGAGCGCTCGCTTGGCATGATGGAGCATTGGGAAATCCTCGATGGAAGATTCCACAAGGAAAAACCTCGGGAGAGTCTCCCCACAGGCAGTTCCTCATGCGGCGCCCGCACGCGGGACCCTGCAGCTCTCCTGCTGCCTTGCTGCCCCGGCACGGCCGCTGGATCGCGTGGTGTATCCGGCCCGGCGGGTGCCATCCGGAGAAGCATCCAGGCCCTGGGGGGGAGACTAATAAACATTAGCAAATGTAGGCTCTTGTGGAGGGTGGCGGCTCCGCTTCGCCCGGCACCCGGCAGCCTCCGTGGAGCCATGCGGGTAATTTTCTTTTTATTTAACCTTGGAAAAATTAGAGGGGAAAAGTTTCCTTCTGACTTGAAGCAATTAAAAAATATGAGAAGGGACAAAAAGGCAATTGAAAAATGGCAGGGGAAGGCCATAAAGCAAGGCAAAATGGTTGGGGTCAAGCTGAGCCGGAGTCGCTGTGGTTGAAGGGCAGCCTAAGTGCCCTTAATGGAGAAATGAAACGKCGGATTAAAAATACCCGGAAGAATTTTTTTTTTTCTGGTTCTCTCATTTCCCCATGACTGCTCTGAAAGGCACAGAAAGTTTTATTGTCATCGGATCTGTATTCTGCCTTGGCAAAAGCTGCTTTCAGCTTATTTCCCCCCTSCTTTTCATTCCCCTTTTCCTGTCCTTTGCTACCTAAACAGGGAAAATTATTGCCTATTTCCCCAAATTACTCAGTCTTCCTACTCTGCTGCTGCTTAAATGGGAATATTACCCCTATGCTAGAGATGAGAGAGTTGGGGTTTAATCCCTGCTCCACAAGAGATGCCAGTTGCAGCTCACTTCCCAGGGACAGCAGAAAGGGGTCCCGAACGCCTCAGCAGCGCTGGCCCTATCTTTTTGTAAGCCTTTTTTTCTCCATATTTTATTTTAAGTGCCAGAAAATCTGTCAGTTCAGTTAAGAGCAGAAAAGAG